TAACGGTTGTCTAAATATGACACAACAAGTTGATACATATTAATAGCACGATATTTGCACAGAATATTTGCTATATTTTGCTTAGCAAGTAAACACGTCTTACCGCTGTAAATTAGCGGAAGTAAGGATACCAACTTGCTCGAAGCAACTAGCCAATCAACATTGCAATATTGCTTAGCAATATTGCAATGTTGGGTAGGAAAGGAACATCCGGTTTGGCTGTAAACAAAATAAATTCATACATACAGTGTATTTACAGTATAAGGCAATTTAAATAAATGAAGTTTTTTGGTATAATCAATCCCAAAGACTTTGGGTCAAAAGGTAGCCTGCGTACAGGCTGTCTGAGGGTGAGGGCCAGCCTTCAACCATCACCCCATGTTTTCGATTTTCGCCGGCCGAACCGCCGGCTAAATTCCCATTGGCTAGCTGAGGCGATCGGTAATTAATTAACCTAGCCCGCGTGCAGGCCCAAGGGAACAGTGATTCATCACAAAGGCATAGACAAAGGCTCTCGATAAGCTTAAAATTTGAAGAACAGACTGTTTATTGTTTAAAGAACAGACTGTTTATTGTTTACTTGAAGGAAGACATGTTTTTGCCGTTATGCCAATGGGGATTGCTTGTCGTGAGGTGTTGGAATAGCAAATTACGACTGGGGTAAACTATAGTAACCTTTACTTGAGTTTCATTAATTTCAAACAGACTTCAGTTGATACGTTATGTGTTCTCACTTCCTCAAGAAAATTATCTTTTGGTAGATGTTGAGATGCAGTTGCATGTTAGGACTGTAAGCCTATTCGAAACACTTTGCGATTTACAAGGCTTCGCTGAGAGAGCGAAACAGAAGGCGGTATTAAATTGCCGTTCGAAACGAAACGATCTGGACTCGGAACGTGTGACTCGGAACGGAGTGATTTATTGTGGCAGCAATTTATCCATAATGCACCCTACTTTATTCTTACACTATTCTAATGCCAGACAATTTTACTTTTAAAGGGGGAGACTTTTGTGCTTTAATGGGTTAACCAAGCAAAATTATCAGCAAATATGTTTGCATGGAGAAAAAAGACATTGAACAATTATCAATATTCTAACAATGTAAATTCCTTATTAACACAAACAACTAGAACACCAATGAACTAATTGGTCTACCTAACAAACATGAGAGAAATAATTCCCAGGCAAATTGTCTTTACACTATTGTTGCCATTAATAACATTAGCAACTATAACACCAATTAACTAATTGATTTAACTAACAAACATCAGAGAAATAACAAAGTTTGGCTTTGATCAGATATACATGTTGTGTAAACACAAATTAAAGCTGGCTGGTGATAACAGTGCTTAAGTGCTAACACTGGTTCTGATGAAGATTTGTGTTAACACAACTGTGCATAATTTATCTCATGCATAATGTATATAATTTACAACTGGTAGTTAATAAGTTTAAAACTGTTCACCAGTTATGGAACATAAAATGAATAGTCGGAGTTTGTAATAGTTACAGTTTTCCTAAATGTCTACAACATCAATATCAATCAACTTGTTTGTTTGCTCGTCGTAGGAGATAAAAACGGAATCCAACTCCAAGATGCCTTCAGTTAGCTCTTCTTCTGACGATGTTTGCGGAAGATCACAAATTGCCAATAATTTATTCGAGACATCGTTGAAAGCTGTTAAACGAAGCCTCTGCTCAGGTACCCCAACTTTTTCAAAATAGATTCTTACGTACCACTGCATCTTGCATGCCCCAGGCTTTTGGGACATTTTGCAGTTTTCACAAAATGCCAACTTGCCTTTTATAGACACCTTTTTACCACATGAAAGACAACAAATACTCTTTGTAGCACTTGTTACACCAAGGATGTTGGCTGTAATCTCCTTTGTTGCTGAAATCGCTTCCACTTCAGGCAAACTTTCACTGAAGGGATCAGCTGAAGTTATGCTGCATTCACATTCACTTTTTGGGGTATTGACATACTTCTCATTTTTTGTTACTTTTACTCTCACTCTGTCAAAGTTGTAAGTCCCTCCCTCTTCAACTGCATCAACATGGCTTCCCCAAATTATGAGCTTTATAAATCCTGAGGGATCAACAATATAACATTGTTGTTTTTTCACAGGATTTTTATTGAATACGACATTCTTCACTGCACTCAGGTCCTTTACAGTTCCTTTGACACATACTAGTTGGTCAGCGGCAACTTGTGATGAGGATGCAATGGTAATGTTTTTGTCCATACTTAGATAATCGAATGTTGCTTCAGCAGGGACAATGCTTGTTTTCTTACCGATAACTATGTCCTCTCGCCCATACTTCGTGCTGATTGAATAGTTTCGGATCTTCACTGGGGATTTTTGCACTGCCATGGCTTCCAAACTTCGATGTTTTTCAGTGGCGAAGCAAACAGCTCTGACTACTGAGGACTCTCTCTGGATATCACAGTTGATATACGATGTTCCATTTGATATCTTCAATGGGGACACCGAATGGACATAGCAGCTAATTTCTGGTAGTTCTAGAAATTTAAATAGTAATGAACAAGGATCAAGTATTCAATATCATTGTCATTTATATAAGTAATGGTACGAGAGAAATCTTTAAAAACTTAATTTTACTGCTATTGGTCCAAACAGATGTAAAAGTTTTCAGAAAGTTTTTTTGAACCTTAATTTTACTGTTGTTTGTCTGGAAAAACTTTTTTGAACATATTTTTGGATATGTTCGGGAAAATTTTTTATCCCCCCAATTAAAAATTTGCCCCAGGCCCCCCAATTTCTCTATGTGGCCCTGTTTATACATATGAAATATGAGACCAGCGTGGTCTAGGATAAATAATCACTATGAAAAAAAATAATACCTTCATTCCTCTTTGCCATTTTGCCAATAAAATATTTTGAAAGCAAGACCTACAGATTTAAACAGAAATGATCATGAGGTCGTGAGAAATTTCAAGTGTGTGCTATAAATAAATACGTCTATTTATAGGTCTATAGAAATTAAAGGGGCAATGTGATCGATTTTTACCTAAAATGCCTTTTATTCAAAAACTGAACTACAAATTTAAAAATAAACATTGTAATTGGATTAAGTTACGATATATGAATCATATTAAACAACATTGAACTTCCACGCAACATGTAACATGATGACATTTTCATAAAAATTGACTAAAACTTGAAAAAGTGTCTGTCAACAATTAATCAAGATGCCATTTACAATCCATCTCAATCCTGGCGTAATCTTGCCCATCCAGACTTCTGTACACGTTTTTTTTTGTGTCTGCTATTGCCTTATTTTGTGCTTACACTCATTCTTTTTCAGTTTTGGGCAAAATTCGCGAGGGTTGGAATTGCTCAAAAATCGGTGACATTGCCCCTTTAAAACCGATAGTAAAAAACCCTTCGACTTTGTCTTTAGCATCCCACGGGATTAGTTTATACACAACACTATATTAATAAACGTTTCGGTCTTTGGAGTTTTATCTAACGTAACTAGCTGAGCATGTCATATTATTTTGACCTTTCATTTCAAGTGAGGGCCCTTCGTCGTACTGTATTATAATATATAGTATAGGCTGTATAGCATTGCAATCAAGGTAATATATTAAAAGTGACTAAGTATTTACGACAACCCCTCGGTTGTATCCTTACTGTTGGATTATATTCACAGTTTTATATCAAATATATTTAAAAATCTATAATTATTACTCACCAAAAACGTTGACACGGACACTATCTCGGACACTGCAAATTATTCGCCAGACCTGACCTCGTGGACTCCTGGTTATGCACATGCGCACAAATATCGCTGTTCATTGTTAGCTTGTAAACCGGGCTGCAAATTAGTGGCAAGGGCGCAAGGCCCGATAAGGCGATGACTCAATAGATTGAAAACTCACGGCGAAAACTCGGACACAACTCACAAGAACGCGATATACAGAACTTGTACATTATTCATTATTTTGCAGAGAAATTGTGTCACATGGTGGCTATAGGCAGCATTTCACTTGCGATAGTAACTTCTAGTTTTAAATTAATGGCATCAGATTTACAAGAGCTTACAAGCGTCCAACGTAGCATGTATCAGTCCAAACTGGGTTACTATTGCGCTATTACATTAAAAAACCAAACCCCCCCTGTCGAGGACCTCTGCTTTTGGGGAATTGTACCCCTCTGGAATGCAAAAAAATCTGTGTAATTGACCCCTCTGGAAGAGACTTGAACCCCCTCTGGAAGGGCATTTTTGCTTTTTAACCCCTCTGGAAAGAGCATTTTTCTTCCATTTTTCCCAACTACCCCTCTGGAAAAGATGACTAATTTCCCGCTTGGAAAATGAGGTCCTCGACAGGGGGGGTACGGATATTAAATGTAATAGCCCATTGCTAGTTAACTTAAAGCATGGTTTCCATTGAGTGTTACAATGCGACTCGACTTGTAGCAATTCTACAGTACAGCGCTGCGTACGAGCCTAATTTAGTGTGACTGACACGTGCATAATAGAGGCCAATGTATCTATAATCAGTAAAGACTGAGTTTGATATAGCACAGAAAACACAAGGTAGGTCCAGAATATTTCACAGCGGTGAGGTCACTACATTTGCACCAAATAGAAAGCAAGCTTTATGTGATCATGTTTAAACTTTTTTCTTTTTACGCCGACCATTTTGCCTTCTACCTTCCAAGATAGCTCGTTTTTGTTTATGAATATTTCTCTTATCAAACAATCCGCTATCCCTGACCCGTAGTTCCGCTTCACGTTTTGCAACTGAAACGCCTTTCAAATATCTCAGAACTTCTTTTTCTGTGGTTTGAAACGAAGCTAACTTCACCCCGATCCTTTCCTCGATACTTTGCAACGCTTTGATATCGTATTGAGTTAGCAACGTTAGTGCCAGGCCCCCACGTCCCGCACGGGCTGTCCTGCCGACCCTGTGTATGTAATCATCCGGGGATCGTGGCACATTGGTATTCAATACTAACTCGACTTCCGGTATATCCAGGCCCCTGCTTGCAACATCTGTTGCAACTAGGATATTCACAATTCCGGTTTTGAATTTCGCAAGGGATGCCAGGCGTTCAGACTGGGACATTAGGGAATGTAAGGTGACACATGGGAGTTCAACTTTGCGAAACATGACGGCCAATACTTGACAACTGTAACAAGTCTTGGTGAAGACTATGACAGATTTATTCTCGGTATGTTCGCGCAAAATGTACACCATGTAGCAATCTTTCACCTGGTCTGGTATAAGGAGGTATCGTTGGTCTAGCTCAGCGACTGTTGCAACACTATGAGAGTAGATAACATTTCATGAGCATGGGGTGGTAGAAGTAATAGACACTTTGCAAAATAATGCAGGGGGGTGTGATTAGGGGAGAGGATTTTTTTTTTTGGGGGGGGGGTGAATTTAGGTTGCCACCATATGGACCACCTTTTGTTAATGAAAATTTCTGGGATTTTTTGCTTCAAATTAAAACTAGTAAAAAATAAGAAATTTCACAATTTCTTCACACAACTAAATAATTTTCAACCAAAGAGCGGCAGCCTTTACTGTCGTTCCAATTGAAGTGTTCCTCAAATATTGATTCAATACATTACCTCGGGCTGACCAATTCATTTGATCAAGTTCCTCGAAATATTCATACACTTCCTAGTATAATTGTAAACTTCCTGTTGAATAATTTGAATGCACCAATCACCTTTGTTGTTTGTGCAACTAACCAATCATAAATAGAAAGGAAGTGACCAGAAATGATCAAATACTTGGAATTGGCTCTTTCACAGGAAGTGTATGAATATCTCGAGGAACTTGATGAAATGAATTGGTCAGCCTGAGGTAATGTATTGAATCAATATTCTAGGAACACTTCAATTGGAACGACAGTAAAGAATTGCTTTTCCATATTTATTTTCTATATTTAGAGGAATTTTTATAAATTTCGATCCTCTAATGGTATTTTGTAGTAGTAAGTTATACATACTTATCCTGCACACTGTAACAAAATGGATCTGTTGCTGTGATTTGACAAAGCTCCTCGATCGTATCATTCAGAGTTGCGCTGAAGAGTAAAGTTTGACGTTTTTCTGCCACATGGGAGAATATCACTTCCAAATCCGCTGCAAACGTGTCTTCAAGCAGACGATCGGCCTCGTCTAACACTAAATACTTGATTCTACGCAAGTTGAAAGTGTCCGTACTCGTCAAGTGGTCAGCACATCTGCCTGGCGTTGCTATGACAACATGTGGTTGCTTAGCGAGCGCAAGACTCTGCGTCATCATGTCCATACCGCCCGTTATTACTATGGTTTGTAAGTTGATTGGTTTACCCAAAGCTTTGAATTGATCTCCAATTTGGAATGCTAGTTCCCTAAATATATCATTGAAAATAACTATTATTGTTTGCTTTTAGACTTCGATATTTGTATTAACCCATTGAGTGCAGCACTTGTCCTCTTCCCTCGAGTAAAATTGTCTGGCAGTAAACAGAGTAAAACAGCATACGGCACATAGGCTCACCAGGGCACAAATATGCCACTTAGGGGTCACGTCCATATTCATATTGCCATGCATAACGTCAAATCGACGTTATGAGTGGGTAGCTGGGTTTATCTCAATTCTCTCGACGTTATCTCGATAATCTCATGGCAAAATGACAATTTTGTGAAAGTTTTGAAGAATGTGACTGCCACGCTCGACGTTATTTCGGGTGGGTGGGTGGGTTTGAGTGTTAACTTCGATTCGACGTTATGCGTGGCAACATGAATATGGACGTGACCCCTTACAGGGTTAACAAGACACATGGACAGATAACCTGATTAAACAAGCATCCTACGGTTTCAATACAAGCTTACCTAATCAGTGTGAGGCTAGTTAAACATGGTTGGGTATCAATCGGATTATAAAGCCTTCCATTAACCATATAAATATGCTTTTGACAAACATTAAAGTTTCATGTGATTTATATAGACATCTGCAAGTGTTTATTGCTAGATATAAACGACCGTAAAACGTGCCGTAAAAGACTTTCCTCGATACTTATTCATGTCGCAAGACATATGTATACCTTGTGGGGGTTAAAATCAACGCAAACACTCCAAAAGGGTCGTCTGAGAGATGTTGTAGTATTGTCAGAGCAAAAACAGCGGTCTTTCCGCTGCCCGTTTTAGCACAGCCAATACAATCTCGGCCTTTTAATATCTCTGGAATACACTTAGCTTGAATCTCTGTAGGTTTTTTAATACCAATTGCACTGCACTGTTTCACTAGCCAGGTTTTTATGCCCAAATCGCCAAAAGATTCTTCCAAATTGTCCGCCATATTGGATTACCTAGCCCTATTTTAGGGTGTAGTATTGCAGGTGTTGCGGGTTTACATTTCATTTGCCTGCATTATCTGTTGCCCACAAAATTCCCTAAAATTGGGCTAGAAAAAAGGCGGGAAAATGTTTAAACCTTATTTGCAAATTTTTAAATGTCGGACAAGCATGGGCTGAATGGCTTGAAGCATGGCTTAAAAAGAAAGTTAAAAAGTATTACTATAATGGCAAATATTGGTTTAAAGGTAGGCTTCGTTTTATTGTTATAAAGTGCACGTTTTCTTGAAGTATTTGAGACAAATGCAGGGGCTTATAAAATATAGTTTTGACTTGTCTAAAATATGTTGACTTGCATTGTGTGTTCGTACAATTGGTACTATTAATCTTCCCTAAACATAAAAGAAAAACTTATACTTAGTAGTTCGATAGAAAATTCAATATTTTCTTTCTGAATTCTGTCTGATAATCGTCTAAAGTCTATCTGATAATCTTCGGCAAATGTATTTAGTAGAACGTCTAAAACAAGTGTGAATTCCAGGTGCAACTGTGCAAGTGTGCAAGGTTTTTGGGAATATTTATAAAATGGTGGCCATGTAAAATAATGAGATATTTGGTTGAAATACAACTACATGACTGCTATGACATGAGTACATGACATGCAATCAAGTTCCAACTAAAATAATATACTGTTATGGACTTATAGTCAAACATATCAAAAGAAAAAAAGAGGGTTATAGGAGAATGCAAAAATAAAATTTATACAGTTTTAGAGCAAAATATTGGTTAACACTAGCCACTAGGAATTTTCTCCTGGTGATGTGATAAGGTGTCTCTGTATGCACTAAAGCGTAAAGGCTTGTTCATGCACACGAGCGATTTTTTTCGTTTGATTTTGAGCTGTGATTTTCTCCTGCTCTTGAGCACTTGCTCATTTGCTCATAATTTCTTTGAGCACAGTTGCTCGTTTGCTCATACAGCCCGGTCCACAAACAAAGGGGTTACTTGTAATTTGCATCTTAAGATTTTAAGAAATGTATTGGATAAAATTTTGTGATGAGCACATGCTCATAACTGCTTTGATCACTTGCTCAGGGCCAAATTTTGCATAATAAGCGCATGAGCACATACTCATTTTACTTGATAAGTATTTTGAGCACATGCTCGATCAGCATGGCATGATGCGTCTAAACAATCTCAGAAATGCACGATGGTGGTGATGGTGAATACACATGGTGGTTGAGAAGGAGGGTGTGGAGAAGAAGAAGAGGTTGGATACAACAACCAGCCTGACGAGGTGCGCTTGAGAATCTTGAGAACCTTACCTTCCATACGATCGAAGACCACATTACCATTATCAATGGCCAATTGGTTTTGCCACCACAAACCGGTGGCACAAAGAAGCAATGATTCAACACCTTTGGTCATTATCCGACAGGGCAGCCCTTCATTTCCAGTTGATATCCTTCCTCATCCATCTCAGCCTTGCGAAGCAGTGTCACAACATCGCATCCGGAAGATGTCTCCTCATATCATGATGGATAGCGCTGCAAAAGCAGGACAACAGTGAGAATCCAGAATGGAACAGGTGATTTGCTGCTTCTCTTGCGAATGGTGTCCTGCTTTTGTGGCGCGCCTTTCATGTGTCATGCTTGCAATTGCTGGAGATTGGCTAATGCATGTCGCTGTGTGTCGTTCTGGTGGACTAAAGGATGTCAACCGTTCCTGTCGACAACTCACAGATGATCGCCAGCCCCTACTGCTGCACATGCTCATTGCACAAGAACAACTGCACAAGTATGTGATTAATGTAATACATGTGATTATATTGGATTGATTTTAATTAATGAATTAATTATCAATAAAATTCATCCTTTCAGATACGCACTACGCATTGAAATGTCATTTCCTGAAGACCCGACTGGAGATGGGTGTGGCTTCAATGGACTTAGTGTTGTCAGTGCTGGAAGTTGGTTAGATCGAGATGGGATGTTATTTGTAAATGACCAGTCATTCCCCCTCCCTCGAATATAAGCCCCCCTCATTGTCTTTATAGCTAACTGTAATTACTATGTTAGTCAAAGCACATTATTAATACATGTTTATTTTCCTGTTTATGACTGACTTGTTTATTTAAGTAACACAAAAGATTCCATGTATAAGACCCCCCCTTGTATATAAGCCCATCAAAAATTGCTTGCAAAATAATATAAGCCCAGGGCTTATAGTCGAAGGTTTACGGTAATTGTTTAATATTACAAAAACAGTTACAGAGTTTGAAAGAACAAATGAATAGAAAGAAAGGAAAACAACCTATCAGTAACTAGTTAATCAGTAAAGATTAATGTTAAGTGCGTATGGTTACTATAGTTAAGTTATAGTAATTGGTGCACCAAGCGGAAATCTTAATTTAAAGATAAAAAGCAGATCCAAGCAAATCACTTTGAAACCAAAGTAAAAGTAAAAATTTAATAGGTAACATTTCGTTGTTTACAATACAACTTCTTCAGAGAAATCTAAATGAATTTACAGGGTATGGCCGTATATATATATATTTACAAAATAATGGTTTAATATTACAAAAATGGCTACAGAGTTTGAAAGAAAAAATGAATAGAAAGAAAGGAAAACAACTTATCAGTAACTAGTTAATCATAGTAAAGACTAATGTTAAGTGCATTGGTTAGTATAGTTAAGGTTAATATTATATATTATTAAAATAACTCAATTAAGAGGGGTAGATCTAATGGTAGCATTAAGGACAGGCTTAAGTCGAATGTTACACTATCATTAAATTGAATAATTCAATTATATTAATATTATAATATTAATATAATTATTATTTTATTATTATTATTATTATTATTATTGTTGTATTGAATGTGACACTATCATTTCAAAAGTTATTCCAAATAATATTGTTATCAGACCATTTTGTAAACTAACATAACTCTCGAGTCATATGCCCTTTAAGACAATGCTTCGAGGTACTTTATTGATCCCCTTCTAAGTTAATGAACTGTGGTATACGTAATTTAAGATTTTCCGTCAAGTATATGTGTAATATTTTATACATGTACATGAACATGTAGGCATTACTTCTCATTACACATATGCAACATCAGTGATCAGTAGCAAAGATGCTATACCGTATGTCGTATGTATATGTCCATGCTATACCGTATGTCGTATGTATATGTCCATTTTTTGAAAGTTTCGTAGAACAGTCTTCACCTCAATAGCGCCAGGCCAACTGCAAACAATAAACTGGCTATTACAATGCACCCTTCAATGCCCAGTCGTTGATAAAGGTAGGCTAAGGACACACAAATTAACAAGAGCATAAAAAAGTTCCCCCTTGTTGGATATATAATGTATGCCCGAATAACTGAGACTATATACCGGAGATGAACTTCCTGTGTTTGGTTATGGATGCCAATACGAGACAGCTCCCAAGCAACAAACAGGTTGGTGAAGAACAGCGGGTTTAACAGCTGAGCAAAAGGGTAGTCAAGCATTGTAAACACAATTGATAGTATCACTGCACTGTAGAAGACGGTGTTTCGCATTCGAGGTAATGCCATGATCTTAACAAATGTATATGTGCGAGAACTGGAGAGTTGAAAGGCAATATCAACTGCATACTCCTGACAACTATTACCAGACACCATCGGCTCGGCATCCACAAGATCTCTGGTTTTCGTTTCTCTCTGCTTTTGAGTGACAAAACCGACAGGATTGAGACGGTATTTGTTTACTTTATCCTCTTCCATTTCTCTAAACGGAATCTTTCTTCCTTTACCGGATACAACATTTCCAACAGCCTGAGTGCAGAAGTATCGACCACCATCGTGTATCACAACTGCCCAATGGTTGAGAGTAGTGGAACCAGAAAAATCTGCCTTGTCCATGTCTATTTGCTCAATGCACCTTGCTATGTAAAGCTTCCGATCAGTGGCGACATTCAATCCTACAAGCACTCTCCATACAATAATGATGTAGGGAAGCCCATAGAGTATAGGAAAGAAAAAGCCAATGGCTGCCACCAAAATAACTCCTGTCCTGAATATCACATCATACTTGTAGAAAGTGAGGACAACAAATAGGCAAATATAACTCACAGAGACAGCAACGTGGAACACGTAGTCTTCGAACATTGTTTTTCTACACTAGACGGAAAATTCGTTCTCATGCAGTAGGAGTAGCTGTATATGCTGACCTGAACCACAATATTGTATTGTTATTATAATATTGACACTGCTTTCTTTGTTATTCATAGCTTTTTATTTATACATCTATAATATATCATAAGCATGAGCTATATAATACGACAACTAATTCGCAGTGTATACTGTGTGTTCATCGACCATTGTCTGTATTATTCGTAGTATTATTCTATAGTTGCACGTTTCCTGGATTCCCAATTCCCGGATTCCTCGTTCTCTGTTTTAAAGATAGCCTGTAATTAATTATGGCGTGGAGAGTGCTTACATGTGTGATTGAATGTCAACACTGATCAGAAGCTTTACATAGCAAGGTGCATTGAGCAAATAGACATGGACAAGGCAGATTTTTCTGGTTCCACTACTCTCAACCATTGGGCAGTTGTGATACACGATGGTGGTCGATACTACTGCACTCCGGCTGTTGGAAATGTTATATCTGGTAAAAGAAAACCGATTCCGTTTAGAGAAATGAAAAAGGCTCAACTAGACAAATACCGTCTCAATCCTGTCGGCTTTGTCATTCAAAAGCAGAGAGAAACGAAAACCAGAGATCTTGTGGATGCCGAGCCGATGGTATCTGGTAACAGTTGTCAGGAGTATGCAGTTGATATTGCCTTTCAACTCTCCAGTTCTCGCACATACACATTTGTTAAGATCATGGCATTACCTCGAATGCGAAACACCGTCTTCTACAGTGCAGTGATACTATCAATTGTGTTTACAATGCTTGACCACCCTTTTGCTCGTCTGTTAAACCCGCTGTTCTTCACCAACCTGTTTGTTGCTTGGGAGCTGTCTCGTATTGGCATCCATAACCAAACACAGGAAGTTCATCTCCAGTATATAGTCTCAGTTATTCGGGCATACATTATATATCCAACCAGGGGAACTTTTTTATGCTCTTGTTAATTTGTGTGTCCTTAGCCTACTTTTATCAACGACTGGGCATTGAAGGGTGCATTGTAATAACCAGTTTATTGTTTGTGGTTGTCCTGGTGCTATTGAGGTAAACTACGAAACTTTCAAAAAATAGACATGTACGACATATAGCATCTTTGCTACTGATCATACTGCATATGCATGTGTAATAAGAAGTAATGCCTACATGCATGTTCATGCATGTATAGTTGACTGAAAATCTTAAAATTACCCCCCGTTCAATAACTTAGAAGGGGTATCGATAAATTATCTCGAAGCATTGTCTTAAATTTAGGGCATATGACTCGAGACTGGAGAGAGACTGCTGGAATTGTGTCACAACGCATGCCTTGACACAAAGAGCGACTGCGAAAGAGACTATACTATAAGAATTCAAAACAAGCAAGAGATCAACATTACAATATTAAAATTTAAAACTTCTGAAACAGTTTCCGTCAATAAAAATAGACCAGCCTGGCTGATATGAATTAGCTACACTTATTTTATACATCTTTGACAGATTTTTGTTTTCTTGCTTCATTTTGGAGATATTTCGTTTTGTATGATGCATGTGCAATTAAGGACCAACTTTCTACGTCACATATGCATAATAACTTACTTTAAAATGTTATATAATTTTGTCACTATCAAATAAATTACCACAAAATGAATAATGAGCACGACATTTGTCCACATTTGTTTTTTGCTGATTGTGTTCAGTCGTATTAAAGATATACAGCTTTAGGGCTAAAACAAAAATCTGTCAAAGAGGCCTGACTCTACAGTTTTCAATGATCTTTCAAATTAGACAAAAAAATAACACCATCAATTTTCGATAAGTCTATGGCAGGCTAAAATATGCCGGCATTAAACTCAGAAAGGGTTAAACTCTGATTAAACTCTGATTTTTGTACTATTTCTCCAGACGATAATTGGATTGACTTAGACCTTAGTTCTTTTTATTCATAAGTTGCCAAATATATACAGTACATATAGAGTAGTTCAATGTGTATCATTAAAAGCGTTCCATTAAAGTGGCGATAGTGGCCGCATTGTAGCTCCGGTACATCTTTGTGCATTACTGAGTTGGTATTGACACACAGCACAGGTTTCAGGTCTTTCATAATTTCTCAGCATCAATTGTGTAACTTGTGATTTTAAGTTCCTATTCGCTTCTCGTAATCGTGTATTCTCTTCCCGTAATCGAGCATTCTCTACTTCATAGTCATGTGGAGTTAGCTTAATCTCTATATGTTCTGCCATGGTTATCTTGCTTTGTTCCTATGAAGAAATTTAGCGACCGTCAGTATTTTAATTGGTTTAATATATAGAGGATATTACACGGCGGCGCGAAGATATGACTTTTATCTTCGAGTGGTGAAAACAATATTTTACGAACGAGCGCAGCGAGTGAGTAAAATATTGTCCCAAGCAAAAAATATTGTCCCAAGCAAAAAATTGCGGTATAAATACTAAAAGTCACGTGATCGATAGTATAGTGAAGATATGGAAAATATGTCACTGTGCATGTATTTCTCAGTATCTCACTCTCTACACAAATACGGTCAATAATTATGAAGTCTTCTTACCTAGTTATCTTCAGATGCTCTACCGATTTGCGCCCTTGCTCTTCGTGTTTTGGCTTAGATTCCTTATATGCAGCCAGTTTATATACATTCCATGCAGGCCCATGCACTGGTGTTTTGTTAGAAGAGCGACTGTCACAATTACCGATAACACATCATTATAAATGTATTTGTTTATAATAGATTCATTGCACGCCCAGTGCATTGTGATTGGTTAGAAGAGCGAATGTCAGTGCATGGTTATGAATTGATGTGTCATGGGAGTTAATGAGTAATTTGTGGAAAGTTCCTAATTATATAACAGGAAATGTCTACACGACATGTCTAATATACGGTGAAAAATTCCGATAAATCCTTTGAATATATCGAAATTTTTCACCGTATACTAGACATGTCGTGTAGACATTTCCTGTTCTATACTTTCGGTCGATGACTGGAGTTCTATAAGACTCCTAACAAGAAAGACGCGAAATTGAGGAAATTCGAAGTAGTTTGTGGTTTGTCACATAAATTTCTTGCTTAAACGTGAGTCTAGAGAAACTGCAGGCTACTCCGCGAGTGAATCGATACAGGCATGCAGAAAGGTTTTTGACTCAGAACACGGATGGAAACTAAGTAAATCACAAACGGGTTATTTGCTTGCCTGGTGCATGTTGCACCATTCGGAATATAACTTCGTCTTAAGCAGCGTGTGTGGGGGAAACCCCTCTGGGTCTTAATGCAGAGACCTTATACGATGTAGAACGCGACAATTGTGTGGGTGCGTGCGTGCGTATGTGTCTAACATAGTCTATTATATATAGTATGTGGTATAAGCAGCGCGTGTGGGGGAAACCCCTCTGGGTCTTAATGTAGAGACCTTATACGATGTAGAACGCGACAATTGTGTGGGTGCGTGCGTGCATATATGTGTCTAACATGGTCTATTATATAACACCGCGGAAAAACGTCTGCGCATGCACCAAATTATGAAAATATGGCGGGGAATTTGAATATCAATTTCTAAAACAAAAACATGCTTATTAATTGGTCAAAAATTAGTAAAACAAACGAGAAAATATAGCAAATGGGTAGACTAGACATTAATTGAAAGCGTCCTGGCATTTAAAGTATGGAATGAAATATAATTCATGTAAAAAATTGTTGATTTTAACGGACACGACTTCGAAAATTTTTGCAAAATTATTCAAAACAAATATTCAAACTAAAAAGTTAAGAAAACTCTCGAAAAGTTAAGCTTCTTAACCCACTCAAATTGTAGAATAAATCCTAAAGTTTAATTATTGTGAACACGAAAATTTTTTATATTTGGCGACACAGTTTTTTTTAAAGAAATGTATCTCAAACGAAAATTCGGAAATTGTCGTTGCTTAGTTGATAAACAAAATGTTTCAGACGATAAATTTGTCAACAATCACCTTTAGTTCATGTTCTTGTACAATACAATTTCTTGAACCTTCTGGCTGTATTTATTCCTAGTTTTTAGAATGACATGTTTATTTTTGCGCTCGAAATCTGGCTGTAAAGACGCACAATGAAGTCACTCCTTTTTACCGCCATTTTGAGCCTTCGGAAACGTTCGGAAAAGCTTCTCATCAAGTTCGCAATACTATTACAGGTAAGGTTGACGCATGCGCAGACGTTTGTCCGCGGTGTTCTTCTCATCAAGTTCGTAATACTATTACAGGTAAGGTTGACGCATGCGCAGACGTTTGTCCGCGGTGTTCTCATCAAGTTCGCAATACTATTACAGGTAAGGTTGACGCATGCGCAGACGTTTGTCCGCGGTGTTCTATTATATATATAGTGGTATAAGCAGTGAACTCTATATATATATATATATCTGGAATGATAACAGCGAGCGAAAAGTGAAGCCGACAAAAAAATCACGACATAAGTATTCGTCATTGTCTTCGTCATCAACTGTTCAAGAACTTTCTTACAGTATTAAAAATCACTTGCATATAAAATTTGTAATTGTTTTGAAAGTTTTTATCACAGTTTTTATATCTTTATTCACTTTTAACCTGAAGATGGAGTTATACTCCGAAACGTAGTTATTAAAATAATTTTTTACTAAGCCCATATGGTCTAATTTATATTCAAACACACGTACATATTCATTTACATTTTACTGGCAGGCAAATTCCGATCACACAATAAATTCTTTAAAAAATAACGTGCCAGTGTATTGACTAAAAACTATAAAACTGGTAAACTAAAAAACAATTCAAACAATCGCGAAAAATGGCAAAGTCAAAGTTACAAGTCAATTTACCTACCTGTGAAATGAAATTTTCTCTCAAGAACATCTCTTTCCTTGTGCATCCAGAACGACAGTACGACACAATATACTTGAAAAAGTGATTCTTTTCTCCACACGGGGAAGTTTTCCTCGACTTTTTTCCGACAGCGAACTCAATGCAG